GCATGGGGTTTGATCTATAGTACTACCTGATTATTACAATTCTACATTATTCGTCCAATCCTAAGACATCATCTCAAGTTTATATAAAAAAGTGTTTTAATATTTATGTCACCAAATTTGTATACTAGAAAATATATTTCATGATAAATCTAATGATACTAGCTAATCTATTAAATATATCGGTATTTTTATATAAACTTGGTCAAATATACATGGTATATAATGTATCTAGATATATGCATGTCCATATACATATAGCAAAATCCACATACCAATTCGAAAAGAAAAAATCTACATACCAAGAAAATGTCAAAACGACTTACAATTTGGAATGAAGGGAGTATATGATATGGTTCCACTATATATGATGATATAAACCTTATAGAATTATGTTCCTTTTTGGTACCGAGATATATACCTCAAGGACAGGCTGCAATCACAATTCTTCATGGCAGCTGTTGTGCTTATCTGCTAGAGCATTTGGACAGCAAGAAATGATATGATCTTCAAAGAAATGCCAGAGAAGCCTCTTCCGAAAAGAAATTCTCTTGCTTCTGCATAGAGTGCCCCCCCCCACCCACCCCAATTTGAACAATGGATCCAAACCCTAGTGTAATTCATAGGCTTAGCCTGATTTTTTTGTTTCTTAAATTCTGCTGTGAACTCTTGCTTTTTTGCTTTAATTAATAAATTCAATCTGTAGGGGTTGCTGCCCCTCCGGTTTCCATATTCAGTAGCCAGCTATAAAATAAGTTATTCTGTAGCCACCTCCATTTACGATAATTTTATATACTAATTTACGATAATGTTAATACATGTTTACGATAGTTGGGTTACTATAACACATGGAGATATTTACCATAACGTTATAGTAAACCACTTAGCAATGAGTTACTATAATCTCGTAAATTAACATAGTAATTATCACACACACATGAATTGTTTGGTTTCAGGCTAGACATCGATGGATCGGATCAACATTATTGGATTTGTGGAAGGATCACGGCCGGGCTGTCCGGGCCAATAAGAGAGGTGGTTGTGCACGTACCAGCACTAGCATCACATGCGCCACGAGTACTGTTTACACTTTTCACGTGTACTCTAGCATCATCATATATATCGCGACGAACTGACGGAGGCCCATGCATGCATGCGTGGCCAATCAAACATTTCTGATTCCATGGTAGCATGCATGCATGTTGATTTACTGCCTCTGTGTCCTGAAATATAAGGAACAAACACTGTAAAAGAAAATATTCACATGCATACCTACTATTAGTGTTTATCACCAACCCAAATATAGTAATCAGAGAGGCTTATATGCCTCATTTGTCTTACCACATAATATATCTTCAAATGCAGGGAGCATGTATATTAGAGAGATTTCTATCGTCTTATCTAGAAAATAGGTTCAGGTCTACCTGACGGTCTGTCTACACACAAATGAGAGCCTACAAGATAGGGATATCACACGATATTTGTGATGCGGGTGATGTACCTAAAGTCATTTTAATGATTAGCTAGGGAAGGCACCCGGCCATGACGGATCCGATGATAATTCTGCAGCCTGTTCGGTTGGCTGGTTCGTTTCGTCGCTGGTTCGTGAAGAAGTACTGCTGGCTGGTTTGTGTGAGAGAAAAATACTGTTCCGGCTGGAAATTTACGATCGTTTACGACAAGCCACAACCAAACAAACATGCTGCTGATTATCACTATCCACTATCACCAATAAGTACGAAAACCGACGATGATAGAGTTACCTAACTAGCACTAGCAGCGATAATATTTGTGCAGTAGTGCATGAAGTAAATTAATAATCCTAATAACTAATAATTGCAGGGCACACGCAGGCCATAAGAAAATTAATTTACCAATAGTTATAATTAATTTTCATGATGCATGCATATAGAGAGTATGGTGCATGGGTTAGTTACCCTTCCACGGAGAATATATAATACGGCATGAATACAACTAGCATACTTTGCAGAGAAGTAGAAGATGAAACGAAGTGCATGAAGTCACAAGTACATATAGAAGAAGGAAGGAAGAATGGTAGATTAGATCTTGATGAAGAGACGACGAAGACTCAGTGCAGTAGTGTCGTTGCGCAGCTACTAGCAGAGTATGTAACAACAAGCTGGCAAATCAGCAGCTAGCACCAAACGGAACAGCTCATCAGATCACGCTGTGTGCCTGCCAGGTGGTGATGCTGTGCCAACGCTCGACAGCTATATATCCCTATGCAATCATCGTCCAACAACGACGATTCCATATAATGCATGCATGAAATCCGTTTCGATCCATTCTTTTGTTTCTTCCCCTTTTTCTAGGTGCAGATCTAGAAATATATATTTACATTTATATTTGTAATAAGGACTCCTTTATTTTCATTATTTTTCAACCTCGAATATGTCTCTCCTTCGACGTTGCATGGTTATAAATTTACAGGGAGCTCCATACTTTCAGCTGAGGTAGGAGGCCGGAGCACGAGCCAATCCGTAATAGTAGCTACCAAGCAGGCAGGACCAGCTCTATCATCATGATGGATCAGCTCGTGTGCATTAGGTGCAGCACTGTGACAGTACAATAATGTGGTCACCATAAGCTAATTAGATCTACCAACCACTAATTAACAACAGTCCTTCTCCAGTAGCATATACAGTTCTAGCAGTATATTTCATCCTGTCGCTAGATTTGTTACTATATCAGTTATAATTGACCACGTCGGTACATTCTGTCTCTTGGTTGCTTCCATTTTCTAAAAGAAACCAGCTAATTATATCAGGAATTGCACTATTTACTGGAGTAGTATCTATGTCTATCTATCAGTGACGCTGAATTTTGCAATGGATGTTTTGGTGGTGTGGAGATGTGCGCCAGGGAAGGTAGTGGTGATCCCTGACGTACAGGGACATGGATTTTGTGGCACTGCAAATCAGTCAGCCAATTCATATTTCTCTTGATGAACCACCATACCACAAAACAATATGAGCAAAGTGCCAGTGAAATCGCTGTGCATGCGTGCCCGGCCTGCTTTTGCATCTGAATTATTGGCTCCAGATTGCGATTGGACCAGCTACCCGAATCAAAGCTATTGGCCAATCTACAAATGTCTCTCTGTCCATCTCTCTGTCTCTCTGTCTGTCTGTATCTACATCTTTTCATGGCTCTCTCGCAGTCATTCAGTCGGACTGTCGTAGTATATATGGATAATCAGTCAATCTGCACATGTATGCAGACATAACCAAGTCTTGGCACCATCTGTATGCAGAGATAACCAAACAAACTCGCCAATTCCCATGGAATTCTATCGATTCATGAACTAGTTTAGGAATTCAGGAAAATGGATTCCTGCCATGCCAATATACTGCTAATAGCATCGGTCTGTTAATGCCATGCCATATTTAGCCTATCCAGGGTAAAGATAGGATAAAACGTTGGAACAAACCTTTCGTAAATTCCATCAGAAATTATACTTTCAAAAATTCTAGTATCCACAATTAGGTCTATTTAGGAATACATGGGAAAGTCCAAACTAAATTTCTTTTGCCATACGCAAGAAATGACAAATTACTAGTGTGGACGCACGAAAACAAAAAAAAAACATAGCATATATATGGTCCATTTTAACATAGGTATCTGCATTTTCTTTAGCAAAATGAAGATATGATTTGTAACAAAATTTGTATTTCTTTAAAAAAGAATTACCCCATGTACACCTAGATCGCCCTCAAGATAGATAGTGCCCAACATAAGGGACAGAGATGGGTACAAAAGCTACTGTTGTGCAAACAAGAAGGAACTGTATGGTTAGTAGCTAGCTTCCAACACTTGTCCTCCTCACCTGTATTTGGGCAGGAAGCCTTAATTGGGCTCGTTGCCAGGCTTATTTTTAAGTAAATTTGTAATGTATCGTTGCCGCTCTGTTCGTTTATGCTGAAATTTAGCTTATGCTGGTATTTATGCTGAAATGCTATGAGAAAAAAATATTATTCCATAACTGAAAAGTAGTGTCGTTTGAGCTTATTCAGCACTACACTTGAGCTTATTCAGCATTACTTTTCAGTCATAGAAGAGGGTTTTCCTCTCACAGCATAACAGTTTGACCGACGGAGACTTTGGAGAGGTAGCAGGCTGGACAGTGTAAAATTCAAGCTTTTCAACATCCATGGAGAGGCAGCTGTTCACAATTCGAACTGTATAGTAAGTCTCCTGTAGTTAGGTGCTTGCACACATGGACAAACAGCATCCAGTACAAGTATGCATGACCGGTTCACAATTTGTTTGGTTAGTCCACCATCCGTGGATTAGCATGCAATTCCATCTGGCAGCACTGTTGCTTAAAAGCAGCATAATAACTTTTAGCTTTATCCCAACCCAGCACTGCATCAGTACATAATCTCATCAACAAAATAGCACGTCATACTGGCAAAAGGACTACACAATGATGAAAACATACCACACCATATCGATTTGTCACTACTGAGACGAAGATTTACTACTCGTCTTCATTGGCACAATTTCATCAGATGATGAAAATCAACTAGTTGACACAAGATATAATATTTCCATAGCCCATGCATATAGGACCATCTAAGATAGGTCTAACACCATCAAAAGTCTTCCTTGACACAACTTCATCAAATGATGCAAATCAACTAGTTGACACAACATGATATTTCCATAACCCATACATTGAGGACCATCATAGATAGGTTCAACACCATCAAAATTCCCTTCCTTTTCAGACTTTGGTAGTATAGGGAGGCAGAATCAGTTCTGTCAAGTGATACTTAGTCCTCTGCCATTCGAGCAGGCTGACTGCGCTTGATTTTGGCTACAACTTCAATCGGTTAAAGCTGACTTGAAGTGGAAGTCATCAATTGTTGAGTAAAGATGCCCGCCATCCACATGGAAATCAATAGCCTCCCTGCATAACAAAAGGAGCCGCTGAGAACTCTGTTTTTTCTGTGTGTGCTAGTGAAAGTGAAGAGAGAGCTCTACTTGATCTTCTCCTTTGGCAGTTGTTTGAACCGCTTGTATACTTCATCAACATGCACTCCGTGCTCACTCTCACTGTCAACAACAGAATGACAAATAAAGATGAGAAAACATGCTAACCAAGGCATCACAACAAAGCAACTTTTTATTTGTTAAGTGAAAGGGTAATTATTAAACGTAAAACAGGTAATGCGGCATCATATTTTCATAAGAAAGAAATAAATATAAGAAAGAAAAGGATGATTATGTGTAATGTAAACTTTATTTAGGGCAAGTTATTGGAAAGGCTGATCAAAACATAGTACACGGAAAAAGGAGGGGCCACAGATATGCGACTTACAGGTTCACTGGTTCACTAAAAAAATTCAGCACCTGCTTGTTCAAATCAGTATCGGATCCACTTGCTCCACTAGTCAATGGTGCCTATAGGAATTAGTAAGACATGGTGATATGTGAAAAGGTTTTGATTAAATAATCAATGCAATAACTGCAACTATAACTTACTGGATTCGATTTCAAAGATGTTGGTGTGCTTGATTCACTGAATCCACTTGAGACTGACACTCCCATAGAAGAACTGGTCCGTGCAGGACTGCCAGCCTATGATATAAACCAGAAGCCTTGTAAAACAAAGCCACGGAAAAGATAGCAGGGAGTATATGACCTTAGTACAGGAAAGGGTGACACCTTTAATTTCGTGTTCTCTATATGCATCCGAACACACTGAATGAAATGCAGCGTAACCTCATTGAAATCAGTTATAGGCCTGAAAGAAAATAAATATATTATTTGTTGGCTGCATTGCAAGGATTGTTCAGCTTAAACGAAGTTACTGCGAGGATACCTGATTGAGAAAGCAGTAGCACGCTTCCTCTCTTGAAGTCCCTTGAGGCTTCCAATGACCGCGACGTACATACCATTCCTTGATAACCAAAGAGAGAGAGAAAAAACTGTGAACTATCCGCACAAAAGCATGTCGACTTTCCTCCAGAAAAGATAGTGAAATGCTTTAGGAACAATGTAAAGGTTGTAGCTTATACTTACTGAATAGCAGCAGTTTCGGAAGAATCTGAAGCATCATTCACCCTGCGAAACAGAAACATAAATAACATAACTTTGTGTAAGGAAACATATTACTAATCGCAGACAACCAACATGATAAACCATGAATAACTTGATTGAATGTAGGATTATGTAATTGGCCTAACATTGGAACTGGTGACTATATCTTTTTTATAAAACAAGACAAAGATCTCCTTATCAATATATTAATGGCAGAACTCCAGCCGGCCATTTCTTTTTAGAAAAGGAAAAAGATCTTCACTGAAGTGCAGATTGAGTACATTTTGGGGAACTGACACACAAGATTTGGCATGGTAGGAACTTCAAGGGCCAGGTTGGTTATTAAATCAGTTTGCAGAATATTTTGTGCTATATATTTACATCAAGATTTGGTAAACCAACAATGCAACATCTTGTTTCTGTTCAGGTTAGTCTACACGAATTCTGCAAGCAGTAATTAAAGCCGGCAACAATATATGATTACTTTCAGGTTAGCTTTTCTTGACAATTGGCATCAACAGCGCAATTGGTATCACTTCTGCTACTTATCAGGTCACTGTAGAATCACTATCCTTGCAGGGAGAACTTGAAGTTGTTAAGGAGGTTCACATGGAGGATACAATGGCGAGGCAGGTTCAGTGGTTGGAAGGAACAACAGATGGAACTGTTACTGAAACATTCCACTTCCACAGGTATGCCTTTCACATGCACCTATGCAGTTTTGTGGTTATAACCTAATGTGGATGTTCAGCATTGGTGTTTATGAGCAAATGATGACGTGTTCTGATAAGATTTCTGGGATTGACTATGAGAGAACCAAACAAGCAGTATTACGGTAGGCTCACCATCTGATGAAATCGAGGCGGCCGGTGCCATCATCGAGCGTGAATGTCACATCGGTCGTCCGTTCCACCTTGCCGTTGACCATCCCCACAAGTCGAATCTGAAAAGGGAACCGCGGCTGACGAATTAACGGCGAGAACATGTCCATGTCAACGAATCAAAGCACGACGAAGAGGAGGAAAGGCTGTGAAATGCATAGCACAGGGAAGAGGAGTATCGAATCTAGGGCCGCGTACGTTAGCCATCTCGACGCCATCCACGACGAACGGAGCGCCCTTCTCGCCGGTGCCAGATTGCTGCGCGTCGACGACCTGCTTCACGGTGAGCGGCATGGTACTGGACGCCCCGCGCATCTGACAAATCCAATCACACAAGTCAGGTAAGTCCATGGCTAAGGGAACCGACGGATTGAGGTTGAAGAAAGCAAAAGAGGGAGTCCCCGCGGCGAGCGGAAGAGAGGACCTTGGAAGGCGTGGTGGAGTCGGCGGCGGCATTCTGGGAGGAGGTGAGCTGCGATAGCGAGAAGTCGGGTTGGCTCGACGGCATCATCTTTCCAGTCACGAGCGGCGGCGGCGGCGGCTGAACGGCTTGCGGGTGGGCAGATGAGAGGATCGATGGGAGGGGATCTCAAGGGAGCGGAGTCCTAAAGGCGGAGCAACCTGGCGGGAGACCGGGGAAAAGCGCGGGAAATGAATCCCTGCTTCCCGCCATTTGCTATCACGGTGCGTGAGCGAGCGTGAGTGGGTATGGCTCGGTGTGGGCCTGTCCACATTCGCTGACAGGTGGGCCTGACCGTACTGTTACGGCCGAGGGCTGATACAGAAGGGATAGTCAAAGCTCAAATCTCTTCTCTGAACAAAATTACAAAGCTTCACCTTCAGACCTTTTTTCTAAAAAAAAAGGCAGTAGCACTGCCACTTTTTTTGCAGCAAGAAGAGGTGAAACCAAATGCAAAGGTTACATAAAAACTAGACTCAGAATGAGCTGCTTGATGTTCAGGAACGCATGATCCAAATATGCATATTACAAGTAGCATCCTGGAATAAGATTCAGCTGACGACTGCATGCGCATGTTCTGGCAGGCAAACTTACAGAACAAAGGTGTGCAGAGATTTGGCAACACGCAGGGTTTAATTATTATCACAATTATAGTTTGGCAAGCAAACTTACAGAAGAGTGATTTAATTATACATATTATCAGAATATTGCAAAAAAAAGATTTTATGGCACAACATACAATTCCAACCTGACAGGCAGAGATGCAAATGCAAAAACTCCAACTAAATGTATTATCAGAATGTTGCCATCAATGAGTGACTGTTTAGCCAAAGGTGATTACAGCCTTAAATTATTCAACAGCTTCCAACAACACACATCAAGTTATAGGGGAAAGGATATATGGTTCAGAACTGGGTGTGTAGAGTAGCCATGATGGATGGAAATGGAATCAAAGTCAAGCCTGTTATTTTTTTTTTTTTGAGGGAACGTCAAGCCTGTTATATCACTCTGCATCAGCATCAGCAGGTTCTAGGATGGCAGCTTCAGCTTCGAGCACCTCCTCCTCACTCTTTTTGCCTTTCTTGGACTTGTAGTGGGCGCTCATGAAGGTCCCTACAGCGCCGTACTTGCGGCGGCAGTGCTCGTAGTGAGAGGGATCAAACATTCTCCAGAAGTCCTTCTCGCTCAGCTCAGACACTGCATACTGCGCCTGGTAACCGTGGTTCCTGATGAGCCACTGCTCCAGCCTATGCACGGCTTCAGCACCGTTGAACTCCTCACCCCGTACAACAGAGGCGGGAGCGTAGTAGAAGCCAACGTCGGTGAGAACATTTGGGCGTAGCTGGTGTCACCTTTCCTGCGATGCTGCTCGAATCCTGGTTCTGGGTGCACCATCGTCTTCACGGGAAGCTTGTACAGCCGATGCGGGCACAGCCACACTGGGTAAACCTAAGATCAGATAAAAAAACAAAATTCTGAATACCAACCCAACCAAGTTGAAGAGGAGGACGGTCTAGAGACTCTAGGCTAGCCACCAGCGAGGTAAAAGAAAAAAAGGAAACTATACCTCCAGTTCACGGTGAGCAAACTCAAGAGCGTCGCTCACTTTGTGAAGCTGCACCAGCACGTCTTGGATCACGTGGTTGTCATGGTAGTAGTTCCTGATATCTTCACCCTGGGTGATCTTGAGCAAGGAAATCTTTGGTGGCATCAGCCAGCCAAGCAGGAACCTGAACCAGAACTGGTCCCCGAACGGTATGATCAGTTTTCCTTCCCAGTACAGGGACCTCGTGTGGCGATGGTAGTATTCTCTCGTAGGGATGTACTCCACGAACTCACCCTTCTTCAGAGCCGTCTCAGCATACTGGTAGAACCAGGGCTTAAACCACCAGCCTACACGGTTGATCCTGTTGCCCTTCTTCTTCGCCTCCTCCTCCGAGGCATAAACACCGGTCATCATCACACCCTCTGAGGATGAGTACACCATCCCTTCTACAAAGTCAGGGACCTTTGCAGGGTCACCGTCCCTTGGCACGAAAGAATCAGCATAAGCCTCTGCAATTTCCTTCAAGGTCCCCCTGACAGGAGTATATGTGAGCCTCATGTATTCCTTGATGGGAATGAGTTTGATCTCAGCTGAAACGAGGAGTCCGATTGTACCTTGAGACCATGGCATGCCATAGAAAAGGTCAGAGTCCTCATTGTCCTTGGTAGCTCTCACAACCTGACCATCTGCAAGAACAACCTCCATCGCGACAACCGTGTCAGAGAAGAGGCCATAGATGTGAGAGCCCCCTGAAATTCCATAACTATTTATCAGACCACCAACGGTAAGGTCATCAAACTCAGGAGCCACAGCGAGCGAAAGATTCATCGGGCAGGTAGCTTTAGTTATCTGACCCATGCTAACAAGAGGCTCGACCTTGGCAACCATTCTCTCTTTGTCAATCTCAAGAATGTTCCTGAATGCAGAAAGGTCAACCTGAAAATGTCTGGCACGCTTGTAGTCTACGTTGCGCATACCGACGACCACCCATGGCTTCCTAGCAGTGCAAACAAGTCCATCCCTCTTTGGATTCCTCTCTTTAAGACGCTTCACGACTCTCTTTATATTCTCCTCATGTTCCTTCTGTCGACGTTTCTCAGATTTCATGGCAGACCACGTGTTCCCCACAAAGACACTGAAGTAGATCAGCGCAGATATTGGAAGGGCTATAAAGAGAGCAGGAATCCATCGAAGTCGCACCAAGTAGTCCACTAAAACCTTCTTCCTTTTGGGTCGCACTAGAGGAGTCTGCAAATCAGCCATGTCTCAAGGCAGCATCTACTTCTGTGAAGAAAAAAGGCATAAAATCAAGGTACATGCATGTCGCTTCCATCAGTCAAAATAATGATGATAACTGAAAAAGGAAATTGTGGAAAACGGGCGAACATTGTGTCCATAATCATCAGGGTTGGCCGGCCTTAGGAGATGTAGTGTAAATAACATAGGCATGTAACATCTTGTACGTGAACAAAAATAACTGGTTTCTACTACTTGTAGGGTCATATGGTCTATGTGTTTATTTACATTTTATTTTCCCACAAAAAATCTTTGAGGGCCAGTCTTCAATTTTGGCCTAATATTAGCGTTGCTTATTTTAAAACCAACTGCAGAAAAATCCTAAGAGGCGACAGTCTATCGGCACAAATGAACATAACAAATTAGTAGAAAACATAAATAGCATGTGTCAAATGAAACATGTGTATATTATCCTACAAGGAAGAGGATTGGGCGACTACAAACACTGCTTTCTGAATTGAAAAGATGTGAGCAAACATTTAAATGGGAAATCTATTTGCAGATGAAACAATAAGGAGAACCTTAGCACTAATTAATTGTAGGGACGGGCAATAAAGGCAAAAACTCGCTATATATAAGTACTGTGACTTTGATGGCCTGACAACTCGTTTCCCTGTACGACCTTTGAGGGCAAGGATGGACTCAATGGTGTTGTCGGCCTAACAACTGTTAAACCGAGAAGGCAAATGTTACCAATTACAGGGCCACTATTGCTACCAATTACTGCACTACTATAGCTTAGATCAACAGTCATATACATGCCTTCACTGATAGCACAGAAAGGATATATGTACAGACTAAAGACTGAACAAACTGTGCCTCACTATACAAGCTAATGAAACTTTGTCAACAAAGTGGGGATTCCCAGTTTCTTACATGAGCCCGCTCAAAAGTACCATCATTTCACGTTCAGTTTGCACGGAATCGAGCCCTGGAATTGATCCGGCCAGGAACGCTGCTGTATTTTATACACCCAAGCAGCACCAGGAACAGTTCCGGCCAGGATTAAGCCTAACCGAACGGGCCGTAAAGGGAAAAAAAATTATTTTTGGAATACGCATTTTCTTGCAGGAAATTTCTCATCAAAAAGAGAAGAGGTAATTTGCGAAGAAATCTACACAGGTTTGCTTGACGCACGCGCGCTGCAGGTACAAGTTGGGGGCGGGGCGTTAGAGGGAGGGAGGACCTTGAGGAAGCAAAGATGTGTGCGTCAAGGCATCGAGGAGATGCGCAGTGGATGGTTCTCCTCCTCGTAACCGCCGGCCGCCATTCCTCCCCTCGCCCACCTCCACCGTGAAGCGCCGCGGCGGCGCTGCCTGCCTGGCCTGCGGCACTCACTCACTGCCATAGTGCCATGGCCATGAAGCGAGCTCCAGTCGCGAGAGATTGCATTTGGGTTGGATTGGATTGGGCCACCACGCCGCAGCGCAGCGCACCACGAATGCAGCAGCAGCCAGACCACCACTCCACCAGGGGGTTTTGGGTTGGGTGGGTTATCTGCTTCCTCTCTCCCGCTCGGCCTTGGCCGGTTTTCTGCTCGGTGATTTTTTTTTTCTTGGTGATGACATAATTATTCGTCGGAGGTGGTGTGTGCAAAGATCTTGGAAGAGGCAGCATCCCTCAAAAAAAAAACTTGGAAGAGGCTGGCAGCAAACACTTTGGTACTTTATTTATTATATTAGTTCTAGCATTAATCCTCCAAACTGAAAATGTGCAGTGGTGTGGCATTTTTCCAAGCGCAAAATTTCACTAAAACAAAATTAAGTGTAGTAACAAGATGGCAAATACTACTACTAGTACTAGCGAGAGATTGAACGCACCCTGACCTCAGGCTCAGAGGGAAAGCTCGTCGTCGCCTGGATCTGCATGCATGCCTCAAAAGTCAAAATGGAGCATGGGAGCTAGCAGCAACACCCTCCTTTGTTTATATACACACACATGACGAGGCCTGCATGGGCAGCATGGCCCACCATGGACATGCGATGTCTACCACATGGCGATAATAAATACTACAAGTAAAAAAAAAATGTGAACTACTCCCTCTTGTAGTATAAAAAAAATGTGAACTACTCCCTCTGTTCCAAACGGTCTGAACTACTCCCTCTATTCCAAACGGTCTCTTAGATAGCTTTCGCTACCTAACTAAATATGCATTTTATGTTTCTAGCTAAATGTTTGATGTTCGCAAGAAAAAAGAAAAGAAATAAATGTTCGGTGGATCACTAAAACTCATATATGCAAGTTGTACACTGATAGTAGATCCAACATATAATGGCTTGTCCCATGCGAAATTTAGAGGATTTTTAGCATGAACTCCAATCACCTACTTCCAGAGTGTGATTCTCTATTACCATTTGAACTTGGGTACGATGGAACTGCAAACGATGATTATAGTATACTGTCTCTGTTCTTTTTTCTTAGGCACAGGGGTCAGTTTTACAGATATCAAGGAATTTCAGGGAGCAAGGTAAAGAGGGGATTAATCAAGCTCTGAGTTGAGCACTGTGCGCCGTATCCTTGCATGATTTCCGTGCATGCAGACCTTCTTCTAGAACCATGCATTGGAGTAGGACTCATCTTTGTACGCCAAAAACGCTTCGGGTTTATTGAGAAATAGAATATTAAATGCTGACGGTTGCTCTTCAACTCCTACTATCCCACGCCTAACTTAGTCCCTCTGCCCTAAATAAATCAATTTCTAAAATTCGTGTCAGTCAAACTTTTTTAAGTTTTACTAACTTTATAGAAAAAAAAAGTAGCAACATATATAACATAAAATAAGCATGTTATGAAAATATATTATATGATACATCTAATGATACTTTTTAGCACTACTTTTCAGCCATGCAACAGTGCTTTCTCTCACAACATTTCAGCATAAGCATCAGCATAAGCCAAATTTCAGCATAAGCGAACAGGATGACTAGTTTGATATCATAAATCTTAATGTTTTTTCTACATATTTGGTAAAAGTTTAAAAAGTTTGACTTAAAATAACTTCAGAAATCTATTTATTCAAGGACTAAGTGAGTAACATCAAATCTGAAAAATCACTATACGTACAGCTTGAGAGAGAGAGAGAGAGAGGAGGTAGTATACATCACCGATGGTGTTTGCATTGGTAGAGGTACCATCAAGAAACCGTGGCAAGCCAGAAGCAGCAATGATGATGATGATGATGATGATGATGATGATGATGATGATGATGATGATGATGATGATGATGATGATGATGATGATGATGATGATGATGATAATAATAATAATAATAATAATAGTAATAACGAGGAAAATGACACCCCAACAATAAAAGCCACAATAATAATACAACGAGGAAAATGACACCCCAACAATAAACTTCGTACGTACTGTACTGGTAGTCAATGGCCAAACAATAATACTCCGTGTATAAGAGTATTCGTTCCTCTGGATCGATCTATACATGGGTACGGAGGAGAGTCTAAACAGCACCCAAACAAAGACTAGACATGCATTATATCGAGAGGAAATAAAATACTCCTAAGATTTTATACTCCCTCCCACCAAAAAAGATACTGGTAGCTATGAGATTGGTGCAACTCATATTAGATTAGGTTTGATCAAACTTATAATGAATAATATTATTAATATATACGAGTCGGGTATCAGTATTAGGGATACCCGACGAAGGGATCTGAAGACTGCAGACGACAAACTCACCTAGATAATCGAGGATGTATCTCAGTCTCAACCGACCCCGAAGGGACGGTTTCCGCCTCGCTAGACCCCTCAAGCACGGGCCCCGTGTCGCCCGACCCAGAGGGCACGGGTTCTATCTTGCCCGACCCCTCGGGCACAGGCCCCGTATCGCCCGACCCCGAGGGTATGGGAGCCATCTTGCCAGACCCCTCGGGCACGGGCCCCATGTCGCCCGACCCTGAGGGCACAGGCTCCGTTTCGCCCAACGGGGATCCATACCGTTTTCAACCACTATGGGTCTAAGGGTACGACCCCGGGGTCAAACTTCTGATAACGGGAGGGAAGCGGGCATGTCTCGACGTGACCTGTGGCCACGTCAGGCCACGCCCGGGGGTTCGCATCGCCAACAGTGACGGGTGCGTGGTCGCTGTGCTGCCTAATCCCCATACGGCCGCTGACAGGCATGTCGGTTCACCACGCCGTCCGCCAGGACGAGATGGGAAGCCACGACCAGCTGATGATGTCGGGGCATGGCACCAGTGGTGAACAGGAGCCCGACGTCGAGCCGTCCCCATCACCATCTGCAGTGTCAGCGGGACCCTCATGGAGAAAAAGAAGGACGCGACGGCCCTAGAGGTCTTCTTCTCCCTCGCTTTTCCCCTTTCCTCTCTCTCTCCCTATAACCTGCGCCTTCTCTTTCCCCTATAAAAGGGAAAGCAGGATGCTCGAAACTGCATATGATGATTATAGTATATTGTCTCTGTTCTTTTTTCTTAGGCACAAGGGTCAGTTTTACAGATATCAAGGAATTTCAGGGAGCAAGGTAGAGAGGGGATTAATCAAGCTCTGAGTTGAGCACTGTGCGCCGTATCCATGCATGATTTCCGTACATGCAGACCTTCTTCTAGAACCATGCATTGGAGTAGGACTCATCTTTGCATGTCAAAAACGCTTCGGGTTTATTGAGAAATAGAATATTAAATGCTGACGGTTGCTCTTCAACTCCTACTATCCCACGCCTAACTTAGTCCCTCTGCTCCAAATAAATTAATTTCTAGAATTCGTGTCAGTCAAACTTTTTTAAGTTTTACTAACTTTATAGAAAAAAAAATAGCAACATCTATGATATAAAATAAGCATGTTATGAAAATATATTCTATGATACATCTAATAATACTTTTCAGCCATGGAACAGTATTTTCTCTCACAACATTTCAGCATAAGCATCAGCATAAACCAAATTTCAGCATAAACGAACAGGGTGACTAGTTTGATATCATAAATCTTAA